TCCGGTACTTTAAAATATTATTTAAAGCATTTTATAAAAAGAGGACACTAAACAAATTTCTTTCCATCTTTAAGCAGAAAATGACTAAAATACTTTACTTTAGATTTGATGTTACTACTAAATCAACAACAACAAAAACAAAATTTTTTACCTTAACATTTGTTTCACGGGCGTGGCTGTTACACCTTTAACTTAGTCATTTCATTGTTAACAATGAATAAATATTTACAAGGAAATAAAATCAACGCAACGTAAACAAACAAACTAAAAATCCGGTCAATAAATGCACTTATTTTGATGAAAAAAGTAGAAATATGGGTCATTAGGTTCGGGAAGATCAGATACAGACACTGAAACTACAGTAATACTATACTATATACATAACATGTTTTTTTTTATAAAAAAAGAAGCAAAGTTTATGTATCATATTTTGAACTTCCTTCTTCAGTGGTGATATTGAAATTATTGGAAACTTTTAGATAATTTTATAATGAATGAACGACTCGGTTTATACTGGAACATACGATACGTATAGTACATCCCAGGTTTATATATCTACAATGGTATCAATTAAATTTCAATAACGTTTTCAAGATTTCAAGATCTCTATACACAATACATGTAAATTATAAATGACAGATGTCGTTTAACTTCACATATTCATTATCCATGTTTCCATTCATGTGCACGTGCTTAAATATTTCGATTGTTTAGTGATGGTGATGAAAGTTGGTAGTGTTTACTCTCCGGACCATATTGCATTTACCAGAGCACAGTTCAGCAACCGCATCGTTACTGGATAGGCTTTCAAAGCAGTTTACACGTTTGCAAGAATCAGGTAAATTCTGTACATGGTACAGAGCGAATGACCGTAGAAAGGATTTCATGATCAATCGCAACGAAAGTGACCTGCGCCGTCCGGGAATCGAACCCGGGCTGCTCGATTCACTGTCCAACGCTCTACCTATTGAGTTAACCAGACGGCTTCGATTGTTCAGTTTTGCGCGCGCGACTGAAAATGACGACATAGACGCTAAATGCCGGTGTTAAGCTCCGTCGCAAGCACCGATACGAAATATAGAAACATTAATGAGCCGCGTCACGACAAAACCAACATAGTGGGTTTGCAACCAGCATGGATCCAGTCCAGCCTGCGCATCCGCGCAGTCTGACCAGGATCCATGCTGTTCGCTATCAGTTTCTCTACTTGTAATAGGCTTTGTAAGCGAACAGCATGGATCCTGATCGCAAACGCTCTATATTAGTTTTGTCGTGACGCGGCTCATTTATCTTTTAAATTAGTCCGAAAAAAAGACAGAATGATGATCCATCAGCAGCTAGCATTGTTAAATCGGGTCGCTCCGGCGATTCCGCTCTGGCTTGACTCTGTACGTTCTGCATTCGACAAGTCCTTATCGCTGCACTCTTGGGGATATTACAGCAAGATCTATGCTTCAAAATAGGCATGATTTTACGGATAACATATCCCTTATATATGTCTTCATATTTTTACACATCATTCCTCTGTTGTTTTAACAACAATGGACGGGAGACGACAGAATGTCCCCAACCTAAACTGACTTATATACATCCGAAGAGAGAGCATGTAGCCGCCGGTTTGTCTGTCCGTCCGCATTTTCTTGTCTGGGACGTAACTCTGAAATTACAATTAAGAGGTATCACAACAAGAAAGAAACCGCTATATATTATATTATATATTACATTTGATCGGGATAAATTCTGGCAACGTGGAACTAATCGATTTCTTCGGATAGTAGTTAAAGTTCATCTCTGTCAAAATACGCAAATTATATCCGAGGAGAGTTTATTTGTTTGTTTTCTTAGAATATGTTCAAAAGTCATCGTCAAACCGCATTTTATTACACGTGCGGTTTCGCACGCGTTTAAACGAGCTAATAAAAAACACGATTGTACAGGATGCGGCAAACAAAGATCCGGCCGTTTAGGACTGCAAAAATTCTACTTCCGGTATTCTTTACACTATTCTTAATATACTGACCTTCCAAGAACATATATATATCTGGATTATTGGAAGAAGAAAATATACTAAATACTCACTTGTATTCCATGTATAAACAGCATTTCGCAACATAACTGGACACGAGCAAATAACCAATTATAATAATGACGTGATTGGTACACAAAATAAGAATTTGGCTACGTTTAAACAAAATTATGCCCTATCATGTTAACGTTGACTTTAAATGATCTTAAGTAATAGCTATGATGTCATACAATGATCTAATAATGGTCATATTTAAATACCCCTGTCAAACAGACTGACACACTTATAGACAAAGACGCCGACATCTTCTGACTTCAATATGTACATGATGATGAGATAACACATATTTTTGCTCCTTTCAAAACACTGACTTGATAACGAATCTGACATCATAACATATACATGTATACTGTACCTTGGCGGATAAAATAAAAGATATTTATACCTTTAACTTGTAACCTTAAATAATACTATATCTGTTTACCATATCTAAAATGCATGTATTGATATGGTATATACGATAATAAGTATAGTAAGTAATAATATCTTTCACATACATTTGGTGACACAAATGCAGATAGCATTGTGTACTTATATATGATTATGCTATTTATTCCACGTCAATAAGCTTTTTTTTCACACGACAATTAGCTATTTATTTCACGGTAATTATCTTTCAATTCCAAGGTATTATGCAGTATACCAAGGCTCTAAGTGTCATTTTATTACCAAGACAAATGAAAATGACCCTAAAAGACAAACCCTTGGTCAGATAGATGCGTGGTCCGTGAAATTGACGTCCAAAGACAGAGCCGTGGTACATAAAATAACTATGATACAAAACAAATAGATATCTGGTCCATGAAAATCACGCAAACAGTGCCTTAGTAAATATACCCATACATGGCATATGAAACATGATACAAAATTCTTAGAGCCATTTTATAATTCATGGCAATGATTAATTAACAGATAGAGAAATGAGACTCAGAATGATTTAGCGCCTTGTTTAGTCAAAATCTACTGTAACCACCCTTAGTGGTTTTTTTTTCTAAACTCACAATATATTATTAGCATCATTCAAAGGGTGTTTTACTAGATAATGTATGTTATATATTGTGCATGACAAATACAGAATGGCACTTTTACAAATTTATATAACGTTGAACTTGAATCACTTCCAAGTCTTTATATATCTGATACTATATATAGTGTTATACACATCTGATAAAGAATTTGTCATATCCGATATTGTTATGTGTTAGGTGCCAAGTAATGAGCAAAATAATACAAAACCAGCCCAGTTGTTGCACAAGATAAACGGGTTGACATTTCCTGTCTTTCCTGCCAGTTCAGACTATCTTTTGAGCACAAAGAGATCATTGTTAAATACGCAAGATATACACATTAAGCATTTCTCTAACGCTGAAAGAACTTGATTTAACAAATGAATGCAGATCTTTTATTTTACTTTGTTCATAAAGGCATGTTATTGAAATATCTGTTCAAACTAAACGAATACATGCATTAGTACTTTTTCGACCTTTATTTAAACACAGAAATCAAACATATTTGCTGGTTATATATTCTACAATAATTCTATAATTCATAATTATAACTTGTGTGACCATTTTGTGAAGCGGTGGCGACTTCCACTGCTTGTTACAGACAACTGTATGATACACGTGTTTCTGTATTGCTTCCTGAATAATATAAAAAAAATAGTTCTAGTTCTTCAGTGCTCAAAAATAACAAAAAAGCACTTTATAACAACCTTCGGTAAGGACCAGATCTGTCATAGGGCAATTAATAATAAAAATGTGCTCCATATGCACACATTGTGATTGGTCACACATTGTGATCCTCGTCTCCGCTGATTTTGTATACTACTTTTCTGAATTACCTTATCATTATTTCACAAATTTCAAGCTACATTCGCCGAATTAGGCAGTAAACAAATTTACAGTATGTCAGTATTGTCAAGTTGACTTTTCGTTACCCCAAGTCTAAACCTGTGTATTTTTCTTTCGTCTTTTATCTTTGCTATAAAAACTATAAGGAAATTAAATAATTAATAATCAATGTCCAGGAAAACTTTCCAATATTTTCATAAAATTGCTTTCACACGCAAAACAAAAACTGCTGATGACGATGCCGATAAGTTATAAGATGCACTACATGGTCCATCTTCAAACATAGTAAATAAACCCTGGTTGCAGGTACCAGGGCAGTCCAATATAATTTATTTTTGACAGCCTGGACGATTTGTGCTACCTGACCACCCTTTTTCACAGTTAATCGCTCAATTCTGAATTTAAATACACTATGAGAAATATTTCACTTTTCAATTTCTTTCAGATTTCATCAAATCAAATCTTCAATTTAAACTTTTATTTTTCCATGGCTGTTAAGGGATATCTTCTTTGGCAGAAATGTAATGGTAGTCACTTTAAATAATTCTCCTGCCATACAATCAGGATTTACAACATTGGCTATAACTATATGTTTTTTTTCCAATTCGTTTAGAAACAGTTGTCTTTTAAACTTAAACTTTTGCTGCCAATTTCCGACTACACCATGTTAGTAAATATTGTCCTTTGACAGAACTGAAAAAAACGACCAAAGAATTTACTTATATATTTTCTTCTCATATAATTGATCAATCAGAAACTGCACGATTGTTACATGACTGTATAACACTTCGTTATAGTTGCATGTATACTGAAAAATACTAAAATATAAGACCGATGCTTTCTCATAACAAACGTAAATTTCAAAATAAAGTTATTCTAAATAGTCAATTTCCATGGTTTATGCTTTGAAATTGTTCATTCGTGAAAATTATCCAACATAATAATTATAAATCATACAACATTTGGGGCAAAATTTACAAAATGATAACTGTAAGTTAAAAGGATGTGTTAAGTATTCTAGCAAGTAACATAATGGCAAAAATGATAATGAAAGAGAGTAATTATGTTTTCTGTTTTTATAATTGTAATACTTTGTACCAACAATATAATATACATGTAGTGCACGTTAGTTAGCAGTCACAATAAACTTCCCATCAAAGCGAAGCAGCGTCAATATGTAATAGAAATGAAAGAACGATTCTTTTGTCTAACAATTATTTTACATCCTTATAGTTATACTTTATGCATGTAAAACAAAAATACTTAGTTGTGGTAAATATCATTTATTCTGATAAAAAGTTTTTTTTTTACTCAAACTGTCATAATTTCACTCTACAAAACATAAAATACACTTCAAGCTGAAATGTCAGAAAAAGATATTTTTGTCCACAGCAAAACCTAGCATAACTTTATAACTATTTAGAAAACGATAAAATTAATTTCAACACACAGTCTTATTTCATTTCTGGCATCTTTAGAACAGACTTCTGTTACTTTGGGACTGTGAGTTCATCAATCCATGTTAGTTTAATCAGAGAAATCATTTATTATCAAATAGATCAAAACCTTGACCAGCCTTACAATAATTAACACAAAATGAAATAAATGCAGAATTTTCTTACACTTCTTCCTCCAGATTCATTAATTAAAAAAAAAATCAATTATAAAAATTGTTCTGGTATGTTTGTCTAACATGTTGTAAAGTCTAAAAAGAGATTTAACTCAGCCAATGGTACTATCTATCCACATAAAGTACCAGTATAGTACTTATAACATGTAAAATAGTCGCAGCAACAGTCACCAACCCATCAGAAACATGGTTGCAATATGTTGATAAAACTAATAAACTCTGCATATTTTGTATAAAACATGCAAAGTATCATGTGAACTAGGACTATATAAATTTATACATTTTTCTAACTATCAATATCTTATTGTTAAGTTGATATTTTGAATACTTGTTTACTAATCTGGCGGCATTCAGCTTTAATACAAAAAAGATGCATTTTTTTATATAAAAAAAAACCCAGAAGATTATTTAGTGATATTTGGACACAACATTAATTAGGTTACAAAATGGTCACATTATTACATTCAATTTAGTATATTTTTATAACCACAGACAAAAGGATGGAGTTAATTGTCAACAAATAAGGTGTCTACATGTTATCTTAACTCGCAAAGTTATCTTTACTTGCCACAGATAAAAAATATTTGTACCAAAAGTCTTTTTCCCTGTCCCTGATAGCCTCTCTAGGTTTAAATGTGCATTACCTTCGCATTTATAGATTTCACAATATGGAATTAATAAAGTGACTAAGTTAAAATATACAATATTAATCCTTTGCATGTGTCATCCATGCAGTGTTGACCAAATACTATTTTGTTCACAGTGTTGGCCAATTAACTTTTTTTTGTATACCCCTAAAACTTATAATTTGACACTTCCAAAAATGGATGCTGGACTAGTCCATTTAAGAATTTCAAGTGGTTAAAGTTTAAATGTTTCAATCTGTTTTATTTCTCTCCAGCTGTATACAATGCTAAATAAATACTGTATGCTCATATAAGTCTTGTATTATGGAACGAGTTACATCATAACTTAAAGCATGATATTACACACTTATTAAACATATTTATATCTACTAATTCAGTTTGGTTAAATATTAATACAATCTTACTTTAAATTAAAATATAGTCATGAAATAAATGATATAAATAAAATTATAAAGAAATATTATCTTAACATTTTACACAGTATAAGAAATTCTAGATATTCATTATTCTTAAAGAAAAGAAAAATATACATTAATATGTATTTTACTTTCTGAAAAAGATTTACAGATCAAAATAAATTTTCTTTTCTTTTTCTACACTTATACATGAAGTGACCAACAGCATGTAAGAAGTGATTTGGTTTGGTTGGTTGGTTGGGTTTTACGTTGCACTAACACAGTCGGTATAGGTTATAATTATGTCAACTTTCCAGCTTTTCTGGAGGAAACCTCAGGTGCCCCATCACTCATTATTTAGGGCATGACGGGCACATGAATATAGCCATAGACCTATCCAGCTAGTTTATGGAACGTCGGTGGTTCTACTCAGGTGCTCGTTCGTGCCTGAAATAATGCACAGAAGGACACCTGAGGTCTTCCTCCACCAGTAAAGCTGGAACGTCACCAAATGACCTATACTGTGTCGGTGTGACCTAAAACCCAATCAAACAAACAAACATAGCCACAGACATTCCATCAAGAGTTTAATTTAGCTAGCTGGATAGCTTCGTCACATAAACAATCTAAAATCCCTGCCAGGATCCTAACCCACCTTGATGAGGGCAAGTGATTTAAAGTCATCGAACCAAACCACTTGGCCACTGACACCCCATGCAAAATGCATTGTGAGAACATAAACTATATTTGCAGCTATATACATAACACTTAACAGATGTTGTTAGTTATTTTAGGGGGAATTTTGACAACATTGCAACTATGAAAGAATCTTAATTTTTACATATTTTTTTCTAACCAATCATAATCATGAGAGGAAATGATAACTCCATGTACAAAAGAAACAACAAAAATAAGATTGAGAAAAACAATCCTTGATAATAGAATAAATTCATGTATAAACAGGCAGACATAAATCAATTCTTTGCTTGCTAATGTGGCAACATATTATACCACTGTGACCAGTACAGACCAAGATCATAGAACACTCATGCTATCTGATCATGGTCTGCACTGTTTGCTATTCAGTCAGTGCTTTTTTAATTTGAGGTTTTACATGAAATGATGGATGCTTATGTTGGACAAAACCATTTGAAATATATAGTAGGTCAGGGTTAATATCTTATAGCTGAAGAATACTGTTTTTAATTCTATTTAATTATATAATAACCAAGAGCTGTCATTAGGACAGCGTGCTTGACTATTCTCAGTACTTGATATTAATATGGAAAAAAATTGTAAAAAAGCTTGATACAGTAACCTCTTCCTGTACACAGGTTGAGATAATGATAACGTTAATTCTAAATCCAGGGGCATAATTCTATCAATATGCTTGATAGAGTTACCTCTTAAGTTTCAAAGCCATGTAAATGGACCGAACTTTAACGAGAATTCTAATCCGAAAAAAACGAGCATAATTCTGTCAAAATGCTTGACAGAGTTACCCACTCCTGTCTACAGGTTTGGAGTATGATGGTGAACAAATGTGCTACGTTTCACAGCTATATGTCAATGGACTTTGAAAATATTTGTGGTGGTATGCAAACTTTTACATAAGTGGTTACGCCAACACGGGCGCTCAGGGTACTAGGATAGCTCTCCTTATTCTTTGAATAGTCAAGCTAAAAAGGTGTGCATTAAAGACAAAAATGAAATAAGTAACAAATAAAAAAACAAGAATAAGCATGTTAATACAAAAAAAAATCTAATATTTTAGGAATATTTGATACTGAACTAAAAAAAATTTTCTAGGATTTTAATACAATTTTCAAATATTCTAAATATCATCATTTAGCATGGTTATCATTTTTTAATGCTCCTTTAAATAAATATAACTTTAATAAACAAAAAAAATACAAGAAGATATTTAAACAACAGTCTGTGTACGTCTTAGCTCCTGACCACAGGCGTGGCAACATGTCGAGTCTTTCTCATTCTCTAAAGTGCAATGATCACAAACTCTAGAAGTATCACCCACCATTGGTGGAGAATCCGTCTCTACATTTGGGTCGCGTGACTTTGAACACATTTCACATATATCTGTGTGTGGGCTGTTAAAGAACGTACAATATCTACACGACCATTCTGGGTTTACAATTTTTTGGGGTGCAACATTGTTCACTTGTTTTGGAATAGTACGTTGTGGTATGTTATGTATCGTTTTTGAACCTTTTGTAACAGCTCCATCCATTGTATTCCATCGGCTGGCCTCACTAAAACTCTGTGAAGCTTGTGGAATCCGAGCACTAGTTTCAGCTGGTAAGTTTTTTGTTTGAACTACATTTTCCATTTGTGCAAGCGGAGCTGACACTCGTTTTTGGTACTTTTGAATATTTTCCAGATTTCCACTGTTTGTACTTGCAAAGGCATACGTTTGTCTTGATTGCTGATTGGGATCAAAAGCAATTTTAGTTTGATCTCCTGTCTGACGTCTTAGGATTGGTTCTGTTCTTGACTGCCTGTTATAATCAGGTGCTTGATAATGAACACCTGAACCTTTTACAAGAACGGGTTCAGTTACTTGTTTAATATTAGCAACAAAAGGGCCTCTTTTTCTTAGAGACTGCTGATTTGACTGAGGATGACTATCAATAGTTGGAGGATAAAATAATTCTGATGTTCCAGTAGCGTAATCTGAATCTTTAGACTCGCTGTATAAAGCGTTCATTTGACCAGGCTCAAGTTGCTGTTTTCGCCAATCTTTAGCTATCTCATGATTCACATAACCTATTCCCGGTTTTTCAACACCTACTTTAACATATCTATCTTTACCAGTGAAAGAGTGTGGTTTAATGTCCTGCTCTTTTTCCAAAATATCTTTTCTTATACCTTCGAAATACTTTTTTCCGTAATTTTTTTCAAGCCCTTCGCGCACAAATGACCATTCCTGCGATGCTTTCAAACCTGGTGTGGAATTTTCATTCATTGGAGGTGCTCCAGTTTTTCCTTCAACCCATTGTAAACTTGCCTGTATCTGTTCATCAAAATCAACAGGAGTAAATTCATTCTCTTTTACACCCTCGTCCATAAACGGAATATTGTCTTCGTAATCACTCATTTTCTTTGCCGTCTGCATATAATTTTGAAGTTTATTCCGAAACGGTTCGGTTGATGACTGGCCTGACATTAATTTATTATGTTTTCCATTTCCAGCTGGAACAATTCTTGCGTCTAAAACATTTTCCGAAACTCCTTTTATCACAGATTTACCACCAATCAAAGCAAGAACATCATCTTCTGTTCCCTTGTTCTGATGTCTTAACTGAACAACACTTGCTACATTTAAACCCCTATCAAAAACTTTTTTCCAAACATTTTCTATTATATGGCATTCAGTTGATGCAACAAAACATTCAAATGAAACATACTGCAAAAGTTCCAATTTTGAGCTTCCTGTAAGAACTAATAAACCGGCTGTGTTTTCCGTAAATCCAATCAGTTTGAAAATACTATCTGCATTTTTAATATGTGATTCTATCTTTGTTTGGTAAAAGCCTCCATATTTCTGAAAAAAGAAACCAGAATACATTTGACAGCTCTATAAAATATATACAGTTTTACTAATAACAATCATAATTGTGTTCTTTTTTTTTCCATATGAAAAAGAAAATTTATTTACTAGCTTTTTGATGTATATTGCAATGTTACTCTAACTAACAAATTGTATCATAGTTTGGGGACCTTTCTGTTGACAAAGTGTCAGAGTTAAATCGTATACATATACATGCACAGTGCGGTAACTGGAGTGCAGGTATCAGTTACCCGCACTCCAGATAATACCAGTTGATTGGTTCATTTTTGCTGGGGTTTACATATTGTGACGGCAGAGAAAGGGAAAGGGGCAGAAATGTCATATTCAAATGCTCGTTCATTGGTTCATTTTTTCTGGGGTTTCGTATTATGACAACAGGGAACGTGCTGTCATGTTTGACTATGATACAAAAGAGAAAGAACACCAAAACACTCGGCAATCTGATTTATACTCGGGGGCTACGCCCCCTCGTACAAATCAGATAGCCTCGTGTTTCGGTGCTCTTTCTATTACTTAATGACATTTTAAAAAGAAATTACAACAACTAATATTACAGTCGTACACTCCAAAAATACATTGGGAGTGTAAGAAAGGTCTTTTTAGAAGCCGTGTAAACAGTAGATAATCCTGTCTGATATGCAAGTATAATGGTAAAAAAACCTTACCTTTATTTGATGAAACTCTTGTTTCCATGGCATTATACACAGTAATGTAATATAACTTTCCAAATTGGTAAAAGCTTCTGCCGCTTTTATAGGTTCGAAATATTTCATTGTTGAACTTTGTAAAATAATATTTGGAAATTCTTGAAACTTAAACCGCTCCTGCGGAAAACAAGTACACAAAAATTGCACCACTAGCATATGTAGCTTTTCACGTAATTCTAATATTTTCTGTTCCATGTCGAAACTGTTGCAAGCAATAAAATCACTTTGAGTTGTTAGGTATGTCAAGTATAACTCATGCGCACTTCGTTTTGGATCATCCATTGTGAAGAGACGTCAACTATTGTTGTTTCATACCCGATCAGTAAATCATGTCTTCAGTTTCCTCTTTTATTGAACAACCCTAAAACATAAGAAATAGATCATTAAGTTAAATCAAATTACAAAGCATAAGAAATAAGCATTATATTTATCAAGCTTAAAAGGTGTAAATAACTAAATTACAATATAATAAGTGTGCATTACATATGTGAAATACAATAAAGATCATAAGAAAAGTGAAGTATTAAGCATATGAGAATAAAACCATTTGAGCATAAGGGATGTGATTCACAAACTTTCAGCATAAGAAATATGAATTATGATTAGGAAATATAAGGGATGTCTAACAACTGACCATAAGGGATGTAAATTATGATAATTAAGCATAAGGGATGTAAATTATGATAATTTTGCATAAGAGATGTAAATTATGTTAATTAAAAGCACAAGAGATGTAAATTATGTTAATTAAGCATAAGAGATGTAAATTATGTAAATTATGTTAATTAAGCATAAGAGATGTAAATTAGGATAATTATGCATAAGAGATGTAAATTAGGTAAATTAGATAATTTTGCATAAGCGATCTATGTGAATAATAATAATGAAGCATAAGAGACTTGAATTATGATAATTACATTGAAAGTATTTAGTTTTTGTATCAGACATTACAACAAACCATTGAAGAATTTCTTTTCTTTTTTTGTTGTTGAATATTCAGTTGGCAATAATTGTGATACAACTGATCCAATGTCACATATACATGTAGCATATAATAAAATGTTCTAGAATAAAATATAATATTATTCATCATATATTTGTGTTTATTCTAAATCACTTAGAACTTTATCATTATTATTATTTATTATTATTTTTGCAAGTAATATTTCATAAGAATATCTAAATGAAACATTTCTGTTGTTTTTATCAACAACTTATCATTTTTTTACTCATGGAATAGACCTATCCACTATAACCATTTTATGCCACCAAGTACAAATCTATAATTGTCTTTCTCAGTAAAGACAATTCTTTTAATTACAGAGTTTAAAACTATTTACCACTTTACTCTATTAAGTCCATTTAACTATAAACAAAATAAATACCAGTCATGACATTTATTCTAACATGATGCAATAATGTCTCACAGTAGAAAATGTAAAAATAATCTCTGAAAACCCAAGTTTACTTGTACAATGTTTCACTTGTTATTTTTGTTGCTTATTAAACAAACAAACAAACAAACCCATTGTTGCACTAAATTTACCTCTTTTTTTCAATAAAATGATTATTTTCTCTCAGAAAAAAAAAGAAAAAAAATTATACATTTATTATAGTCTCATTACTTCAATACTTCTACACTAAATTTACTCTTTTTTTTCCAATAAAATTATATTTATTTTTTTTCAGAAAAAAGAGAGAAGAAAATAAAAGAAAAAGACAAAAGATTATACAAAGTAGAATAAAAAATAGTACAGAGAAAAACAAATCAAAAAATTATACAAAGTGGAATAACAAATACTAATATGGTCCTATTACTTCCTGTACATATTATAAAGTATTAAAGTTAAAATATCAAATTACATTCTTAAAGTTAAGTATTCACATACATGACTAACATTTCCAATATGAACAAAGGATTGTAAAAATCTTAAATAAACCAGGTCATTTGTTAATAATCAACCAATAAAAGACTGGCATTATTCTAAAATAACTAAAGTTAGTTGATCAGATTTTAGTCACAATGATATTTAAAAAAAATTAAATGAAAAAAATTGTAGCTTTGAAAACAGCACTACTATATTTTAAGAAATTGAGGCGTATTATATCTTAAAGATATTTATTGTATCATCAAGAATAAAACCCAACAAATACAATGTGAGCAATGTACATTGTAAGCTATAAAGAAAATTGGAATTTAACAATAAAATAAATATAGAACATATTTAACTCCATTCTTTTTATTATGTCAAAACAAGTTTATTGTAATTATTTTCAATGCGTTAACTAATGTCATGTGATAAATGAGAATCTCACATTCTTAATCAATTAAAGCACACACAATTTCTTGATGTTGTTAAATAAAATGTTATATCATATAGTTACTCCTGTGAGATCTATATATATATAAAACTTGCTTTCAATGTAAAAAAAAAATAATAAAAAAAATTAAACTTTTACCTGCATTTCCATATACTAGTTAATACTACATGTATATAACCCATCATACACTTCCTTCTCTAAATTTTCTTATATATATTTATTCTGTATATTAACCATACATACTCTTAATTTGAAAATGTTTTTATAATATTATTTAAATAACATTTAAAACTTGAAAATGCACCAGGAACAATTTCTTGATCACCTTTGATAATTTCATCATCTAATATCTAATATCCTCATTTTGAGTTTAAATTCAATCACATAAAAAAGTGACACAAAGCCCCATGAGTATAAATTTATCTAAAAATAGATTAAGATGTAATTAATTGTCAAAATAAAGTACAAGACATGATGTTTTCTATTTTTAGATCTAAATGGCTATTAGGTGAAAGGATATCCTAATTTACATTTACAATTCTATTTAAATCTTCCCACATACATCATTAAAAACTTAGAAAATTGATATATTATAAGTATATTACAGTAACTGAAAGGAAAGAAAATATCAAATTCCTTTAAGCGTAACATGAGTAAAAGGCTATGTGTCATAAAGATAAAATTGTTTAATGCACATACAATACACCATTCATGAAATTAAAGGGTCGCTAGGGATGAGTGAAAATCACATGACTGTTACCAAGATAAGATTTATATTCTTTTAAAAATTTACTATTTTTAAACCATTGTGTCATGAACCATAACACAAACTAAAACCAACAAAATAAATCAAATGGATCAAATGACTAATAAACAAAAATGAAATTAAGGTAATAAATTATGACACATTTTTCAGTCACTGCCCTTAATTTTACCCTTCCCCTACTTAATATCATTATGTGCAATGGATTTCACCTGCCATGAATCTAAAACACTGCCCCATTATATTACATGTTATCAAAACACTGGAAGTCAGAGAAGGTCAAGTCATAATTGTTGCAAAATTTTAGCAGCCAATGTGCTCAAAACAGTTAACAAATCTGACTGAAATATAACTTTTAATTAAAGCAGTTACACTATCGCACTGACTTAACTCAGCTGGCAGCACCTGATACTACCCATGCAATCAGTGCAGACTATGATCAGCTAGCCCAATGTTCATTGTCTCCAATGTTCGCTATACAGTCAATACATTTTTGAAATTTCCCCCTAAAAATGATGATTGGTTTTGTCCAGACCGAAAGAATGTACCATTTAAGATAATTAGCATGATTATAATTATGAGTTTACCCATTATCATATTGGCTAAAAGTCAAATGGTTTCGTCAAACAGTAAAGTCTACCAAATTCTTTTTTTTTTTTAAAAATCACCTTTTCCGTTGAACAAGATTTAATTCCAATTAATTGATGCTTAACACACAAAACATAATCATTTGAGTCAGTATCTATTTCTTAAAAGATCCTTTTGTTGTTAAACACTTAGTAACACAAGGAAAACGAGAACTGAAATTTATGGAATTAAACGAGGATGTAAAACAATTCAACTTTATTTTGTACAAAAAAGTTTAACTTCTTCATTGATTTTATGCAAAATAAAATCCATTCTAAGTTGATCAGTATAACCTTTAATGCTTTATCAAAGACAAAATCATTAAAAAAAGAGGCTTTGAAATTTTGCCAAACACTTGTGTGCACAAAATAGTTGATCAATAATGTACAAAGAGAATTTCGTACCTTTTTTTAAATTTTAACAATATTTCAAATAACCACTATCATCATTACATAATTTACAAGTGTTGAAATGTTATACATAATAAGATCTCAAAATTTAACAATACATTGCATAAGCCCTGTTGTGTATATGCATTACTGGTATGTAAATTGAAAAACAAAAAAAAAACACCTAAAGTTTACATAGTTTTTTTGTTATCATTAAACAGTTAATAATGTAAACAATTTATTTTGTTTACGCCACATAAAAATGTCATCAATGAGTCATAGAGGGCTGATAAAGAAGTATTGTGAATGTATATATTACATTTTGTATATAACATCCATGAGACCATTACACATTACTGTGAAAATGACAAAACCTATGCGGTCCTGTACAGATAATATCCTTGACACAGGTCTGCCCTAACAAGGCTGCTTAATTTGAACATTTGATATCAAAATTCCTAAAACTAGCTCAAAACTGTTCTTTTAATTTTTGTTTTTCACTTTTTGTTTTCATTGGGTTTAATGTCACAACACAGTATAATCATATGATGACTCTATCTTTACTGGTAGAGGAAGACCTCGGGTGCCAATCCGTGCATTTATTCAGGCACAAAAGAGCACCTGAGTAGAACCAACAACGTTCTGTAATCTACCTGGATAGCTTCCTAACATGAAAAAATTCCAAAGCCCCCTGTCAGGATTTGAAACCACAGCGGTGAGGGGCAAGTGGTTTGAAGTCAACTACCTTAACCACTTGGCAACTTAAGCCCCACAGAACTGTTCCAAATTAAATATGCCATGTAAAGCAAATGAAGCTTTCAAGAGATAAAGAAATATTTAAAACATGTATCATTATGAATTCTTAAACACCTTATGTAAGTTGTGACAGCTAAGATACTGGTAAAGAGTTTGATAACATTATAATTAAATATAGCAAGATATAGGTTATCACACATTAAAATTAAATCGCAAATTATAAATAAATAAAATAGTTAGATTGTCAAACATAGTAAATAGATAGACTAAGATAGTCATACATTATAATATACATGCAGTAAAAAGTTAGATCAAGCTATATATTATTTGTATGTTGTTTATTAATTTAAATCAATTAAATCATTAATACTCACTACATATCATAAATTATTTGTTCTATAATATAATTATAGCCACTGTGTATAAAGTGAACAAAAGACATAGTTACACTTCAAACTTAAATAATGTCTATTTATATAACGGTACAAAATGTATTTGACAAAT